TCGACAATTTCATAAGCGACATATTCAGCCAGCTTGTAGGCCAATTTCTAAACCCATTTCTAAGCCAAAAAAGCCGTCAAAGCCATGTGATCTTAATAAAGCATTTATCACTGATTTGATATTTAAGACACCTCCTCGTCAGCCAATTCCTCGACAATTTCATAAGCGACATATTCAGCCAGCTTGTAAGAGGCCAATTTCTAAACCCATTTCTAAGCCAAAAAAGCCGTCAAAGCCATGTGATCTTAATAAGAGACTTCCACTTTGGTAGATCACCAAATTGATAGATGTACATCATGTTACATGCTATGAACTAACTATGTACCTAATTACCATAAACTAACTATGTATCTAACTATCATTATTATGAGTTATCAATAAAGTTTGAATTTTTGAAATTCTGATTATGCAAAAAAGCGGCCTACATGCAGCACTTGAGTATTGTTATCATTAAATAGCATGAAGTATATAGCTTATAATGATAATAAAAACACAACATAATGTTATTTTAAGCTCGGTTTTAACAATGGATGACTCCAGGCCACAACTATCTTTCTTTTACCACTGTAAGGCTAAAAAATTAAAATAAGAATGAATGAGCATACATTATAGCACTAATAGATATAAAATATTTGAATAAAAATGCAAGAAAATTTCACACACTCGATGCCTACCACACATACTAACAAAGTTGTAAATTGGTACACACAAACAGCATAATTGCACAGGCCTTGCTAACCAATTCGCAAACCAATCTGTAAACTACAAAGAGGGCTGTCTAAATTGAGGCGTGGCACACTAAACAAACAGCTCACCAACAACTGCATCTATGCAAATATAGCTATGCCACCAGCAATAATTGTTAATGCAACTAAAGTAATGCTAACCTGTCTTCCATGAGAAACACGAAAATTATCAATCATCAAGAGGTCTCCTTTCCTCCATCTATCAAACACCATATTCTTGTGAATGATCTCTCTGACATGAGACACGTCAGACAATGGAATCTCGCTACCATCTCCAAACATGGTATGCATTCCCATACCTGCTGGCTCTATTGAATGAAGTAAAGTACTGCACATCAATTGTAAGTACTACACAAGTATACATCAATATTATAACAACAATATCATGAAGTGTTTTTACAGGGGAAAAGGTTCATAGATAAATAAAAAAATTTAATTTTTCATAGTATTGATTTGCACCATGTGCAAGAGTTATTTTCTTACTTTTAATTGCAACAAAGATGTTTTGTATTATCCAGGATATAATTGTCAGGAAAAGGTAGAAGATTTTTCTCATTCGCTTAAAAATATAGCCATACTCTTGATAGGGCATAGCCCAATGAAATATCTAAAATGAATCCAGTTATACAAAATTAGTTATTATGAACTAAAATGAACTAGTATACATGTAGTTTGACGTCTACATTGGAAATGGCCTTACTGAAAGATGATTGAACCAAATCTTGTCTCCTGTAACAGGATGGACTTCAACTGCCGAAGCTTTGTTAGTAATACATAAATGATCATTAGCCTATCAAGAAGAGTCCATGGAGTCTCGTAAATCTTCCCTTCAACACTTACACCCCATTTGAAGTCCATATTAGTCCTTCTTAATTCCTTCTCCACTTCCTCCTTCTTTTCTGTCTCAAACACAGCGCTCCATCCTTTAAGCTGCAATGGCTGTGAGAGGAAAGGCTTCACTGATGAATAATTTCTAATGTAAGCTACGCCTTTTGACTCAAATTTATCTCGTACTGATGGATCCATCTGATCATATACTTTTCTATTAAAATTAAATAATTATGATTTTTGTATCGAAAAATGATTCACTTGAAATCACAGAGTGTAGTTTCGCCTCCTTGTGAAGTAGGTGCCTCTAGGCAGCAGAAGAATATCTTCTTTGGAGGACAAGGCAGAAATGACATTTCCAAATGTTGGGGTATGGGGAAGTATGACGGCAACTCACTAGCAGAAAAAACAAACTACAAAAAAACAAAAAGGTCATTACTCATTAGTCATTACTATATAAATAAATGAGAAACAGGCTTGCGACTGCACTGTACGTGTACTTAAATTTGTTCTACAGT